TATGTACAGAAAAAAATGGTTAACCCTAGACTTGAACAGGTTAAGATTGTAGTGATCGGGGAAGTAACCTCTTAGGAGTCAGTTCCACAAAGCTGTGGTTCATGGGAAAAAACTTACATTTCACCAATGGAATATGAAGGGAATGAGGGTTGTTCGCTACAATGGGCACCCAACTTTTCCCAGTGGGTCTTTTAGTCCTCATATATGAGCATGCTTGTTTTGGTACCTGAGGTCTCAGACTGGTATAATGTTTCTGACCAGTGATGTGCAGAGATTTGGTGATGACTGGGGCCAACTCCTTGATTGTTTGCCTATAAGACTATAAGTAAGGGAGCCTACTCCAGTCTCACTTATCAAAACACAGATCCATATTCACACCAGTTTGTCAGACTGTAGGGCGCTTGTCCAATGAAGTTAACAGAGACAATTTCAAACTTCAAAAATCTTCTCTCGATATGGATACCTGGGGTCATCACACCATCTTCCCCTCCTTCTGCACACTACTGTTTCTGACTCAAGGATGAGTTCTGTTGCCCTGATTTCTGTGTAGATGAGATACATATACACTTGTTTCTTTAGGCAATATGAGTCATCTGAGATCTTGTTAAATTGAAAACAGCTGGACCTGTCACAAAAATATAGAACATTTACTTTCAACTGATAGTTATCAGTAAGTGAAGTCAACTTCAAAATACAGAGCAAGAGGCTCAGACTAAGAGAAAGTCACAGAATGAAGATAAATTATTTTTTAGGCAAAGATGACATGACAAAAAATTGTTATCTATAAAACTGATCATCCTGTGAAAAGGCATCCACAGAAGGATGAAGCTGGCCTTGAAGAACCGACAGGGAAGACAGATGCTAGACTGTGCACCTCACCTACACCTCATCTCTGGTGTCTGGTCTGAGCTGCAATTCAACAATCTTCTTTCCTGAATTATTTGTCTATTCATTAAGAGTGCTGGAGATGTAAATGTTTTCTGAGTTTTGGTGTTAACTACCTGATAGTCAAGGGTCTGAACCTTTGAGTAACTTTGAAGGAGTACTTGTATAATATTAGAGTTATTGTATTACCATTTATGAATGGATTCTGGACCATGCAGTAGTCTCATGTGGAGCCACTTGATGTCATGGTGAAGTATACCATTATGCCTTTTTCTACAGATGATTCAATCCAAGTTATAGATGCACATTTTCCCTGTGGGTGTGACTGTCTCACTACCTAGTCTACCACTCCAGCAAGTACCACCATAATAAATAAAAATTTAAACTGCAACTCCAAAAATGTGATTTATGCACTCAAATGCACAAAATGCAAGAAGTCATATATAGGTATCAGCCAACAACTAAACGACAGTTTCCCTCCATAAAAGCAACATAAAATTACCAGACAACAGAAAACTCTTTGTATCACAATGCATCTATAAATGTAACCAGGGTGAATTTAAAATTATGCCATTATATCAAACAGACAATTATTCTTACCTACAAATACAAGAAAAAACTTCATAAACAAATTTAAACCAGCACTAAATAGATCATAACCCCACACACAAAAACACACAACATGCATACATAATGGCCAAATACAGTGACCAAACCACTCGCATGCATGCACACACACATTCACATGTGGATATCTGTGGAGCACGAATATGTATATGAATATGTATATGTGTATACTAATTCCTTATAATAAGACAGTGTGTATGTATGGAGAGGGAATATTGTATACATACGCATACTAATATATATACACATGTTGGCAAAAACGAGACTGCTCATATGCACACACATGAACCCTACACAACATAAGAAGTGTGTGTATGTGTATATGTGCGTATATATATATATATGTATGTGTGTATATATGTGTATAATAATTCCTTATAATAAGACAATATGTATGTATGGAGAGGGAATATACATATACATACACATGCTGACAAAAACACATACAATACAAAGTAATGGAAATAGATCTAAGAACACACAGGGGTCATTAAAAGATAAGAATACAGATATCTTTCCTCACACTTTCTCGGAACAATCTTAATTGTTTTATTACCCTTCAAGCAGAAGAACTTTCTCACTGCCAGTTCAAGAAAGACATTTGTGTCATTACCACACAAAAAAGAGAATGTTTAACATCGAAAAACATAAGGAAAATTAATTCATTTTAATAATATGTGGAAATAGCCACTCTTTGCCTGAACAAGGTCGTAAGACCCAAAATGCATGTTGCCAAATTATGGAAAAAAAGCATAATATATTTTTAAAAAAATCCATATTACAACCAAAAACGTTTGTGGTTTCTCTCTTCTTTTTAATATAGAAACTCTTCTCTTGTTGGAACAACTATAACCTCTTCCCTTTATATATATATATATATATATATATACTGGATTTTCCTGTCATTTTTGACATATGAGGATCAAACAGCTCAGTTCTTGGAACCAACAGCCACACTACCTGCACATATTATTTGATTATAATGGTGAAGGTTTTGTGCAGTACCAACCACACTTTTTGGAATAGCTGAATACAGTGAACTGGTGCGCAATATGCCACAAGGTCCCCAAACAACACTCTGCATGTTTTGAATTCAGAGTTTTCCTTTTCCTAGACTGCTTGCCACTCAAGGCTATGTGCTTATTTAATGTTTTTTGTTCAAACATTTTTATAAATTAGAATAATCAAGAACCTGTACTGGCAGCAAACCACCTGTATACGGATAGAAAATGAGGTCAACAGATATACAAAAATAGAAAGGGGTGTAAGACAAGGATGGGTCTTATTCAACCTATACAACAAGGCAATTCTGAGAGAATTAGAAGTCCTGCCAGGATTCATTATTGGCAACCACAATCTTAACAACATAAGATATGCAGATAACACAGTGTTGATGGCAGACACAGAAAGAAAACTATAAAAACTCCTACAGAAGGGAGTGAAGGAAAGTGAGAAGAAAGGATTAAGCATCAGTTGAAAGAAGACAATGTATGGTTGTCAGTAAAAGGGACAGCCCAACATGCAAATTACAAATTGGGGATACCAAAATCAAACAAGTAAAAAACATTTAAATATCTGGGAAGTGTTTTAACAAAGGATGGAAAGTGTGATACTGAAATCTGAAGGTGCATTGGGATAACCAAAGATGCTTTCCAAAAGCTAAGCTAAGTACTAAGAAACTGGAAATCTACATTAGAAACAAAGAAAGGAGTACTGAACTGTTATGTGATATCTATCCTCCAATATGGCAGAGAATGCTGGACAATTTTCACAAAGATGAAGAAGAGAATGGAAGCAACAGAAATGTAGTTCTATGGAAGGATGCTGAGGATACCATGGACCGAACATGTGAGCAACGACAAAGTTCTAGAGAAAATGAAAGCAAAAAGGAAACTTCTACTCGACATCAAAAAGAGACAGTTGAAATTTCTAGAACATATAATTTCTAGGACATATAATGAAGAAAGAGGGCTTGGAAAATCTGATACTCACTGGACTGATTGAAGTAAACAATGCCTAACATACTTAATGAGCTTGATTAAATGGATAGCAGAACAGAGTTTGGGAGAAATAACAAAAAGATAAAACTTATTAAGAGCTAAAAAGGACAGAAAATTGTGGAGAGCGATGATCACCTATGTCCTGATGGGACACGTCACATGAAGAAGAAATAATAAATATTTCTTTATAGTTGCTTCACATATTTTTATAATCTTGTAAATTATGTAAATAAGAAATCTAATAAAAAACATAGTGTTTAATATCTTTGTTGTCTATTTTCAAGAATAAAGAAAATATATAAATCCACTTTTATATGTTTGGATTTTATTAAAATTCTGAACATCGCTTATATTCTTTTGTCTTGCATAAGGGGATCAATCAATTTAGAATGATTTTACAAACTACCACCCTTCTGTTTGTCCTGGGTATGATGATAAACTACATTTGGCAGCAAGGACTCTGATCAGGAGCTTTTGAAGAGTGTGGAACTACCTCTTAATTGCTGTTGTTTCCATGTCCATTCTAACCAAGGGTGGTAGCACCTGTTAGGATCCCAGCTATGGCCAAATGGTGAACCCCCAAACTGGGGTTAAAACACTATGAAATTATAAAAATACATTTTTATAGTAAGCATTTCCAGCAATAGATAGTAAAAAAAATTTACAAAAGCTCAAAAGGAAATTAAATTTCAGCATTAAATGATCCATAAGGAGTTGATATGCCATTAAACAAAATACCTCCCACACTCTTAGAATTTAGAAAATTAAATTTTTTTTTATATTTGTGATCTGGAGAGCTTAATCAATAGTAATATGGGAAAAAATTGGAAAAAAAAATGATTAGTTCTTGATGAGTTGTGTTTCTGTAGAAACACTAAAATACTGCAAAGATCTGAAACAAATAGCAAGATTTTATAAAATGAGAGGTTTAAAAAAGTTTGTTTTACATTTAGGTAAGATGAATAATATTAGAAGTAGACTATCCATTTTGTGTAGTGAAGATCTTAAAAGAACAAGACTACTCTCATGGGGCATGAAAAGTTATACCCAAAATCTAACAAGTTTGGTCCACAGCCAGTCAATCTTTGCAAAATGAGTCAGAGTCTGCATTTTTTCATGTTCCTCATACTAATTATTTAAGAATTTAATCCACTTCTGTGATGCATAGTTATTCAGGCATGAAACTCTGTTCTGTGGGCAGGGTGAGACAGCCACTCCCCATATTTTAACTTGAGCTAACTACTTTAAACAAGAACAAGAAACTGATGTATTTTCTGCTAAGATGAACATTTCATTTATTTTTTAAACATTTGCTAAAAAATCCCCCCCCAAAAAAAAAACCCACAGAAGTCATTAGGGCAAGCCAAAAATGTGGTGGTGGTAAATTCATAAACATTTTTATGAAAATTCCTTGCCAAAAAAATTCCTTAGTTTTTTATTGTACTCTTTAACTTGTTACCAAAATTGGGTGAGCTTACAGCTCTATCACATTGAAACACTGGTTTCCATATGATCACCAGTTAAGCAATGTTGAGCCTGATCAGTAATTAGATGGGTGACCACTTGGGAATATCAGGTGCTGTAAGCTTGGATGTGCAGGTAGTGTAATGGATAATGGCTCAGAATTGTTAATTGGAGAGCCGAATTCCAATTCCAGTTGGGTTTGTTATATTCACTTACACACAATATACCCTTGGGAAAGATATGAATCTATCTCTTCTCCCTCGAGCTATGGGTCAATTTGTAAGACTTGTGTCACTAAACCATTATTAAGTCAAAAAAAATTCTTACAATCTAAAAATATTTTCTGGCTTTCAATAACCTGCAAAGGGTTGATAAACCATAGAAAACAAATCAATCAGTGAAATACTGATTAACTGCAGAGGCACGTCTTTTAGATTTATTTACATTCTCTGGAATATAAATGTATAGAAACTAAAGTGAGGGATCAGTTTATATATTCATTGTAATATAGAATTGATCCCCTACTTTATATCTGCATTATATATTTTCTGTTTGATATGATGATATGATGATATCTAATTTTGTATAATTTTATATACCAACAAACAGTATTTAGAAAAATTTGACAAACTGGAAAAGTTTGTGACATGTTTCATCTGATAGGAGTTCATTGAACTGGGCTTTGTTGATGCAGCCATGTCTACACATGCACACGAAATGAGAGACGCAGGTAGTTTCAAAATGTTTTGAAAAAATATTTTTGGAAGAATTTTTTTTTTCAATCTAGCCAAATTCATCTGTATTCTTTTTCTTTTTCTCTCCATCATCTATGTCCCTGACTATCCCACACTATGACAAGATAAAATCTACCAAGGATGGTGATATAATGTAAGAGCCTGGATACAAATTTATCATGTCTGAACTAGCAATCAAGGCACTTTCCAGATATTTTTGTCTCAGTGGATTATTTTCTCTTTTAATCAAAGTAGCATTCCCTGTGTCAAAATTGTGGCCATTTTGTTATGGTGAACAACCAATGCGTTTTGTGTGATGTTATCTAAAATACCTCTTTTGTGTTCATATAGTCTCTTGTTTAAACTTCTTGAGGTTTCTCCAATGTACTCATTCTGGCAATTCCTACATTTGATAAAGTAAATTCCTCCTTCACTTTTTGCCTTTTTTGTTGTTCTGTTTTATTGATTAAGTCTTTGATTGTTTTAAATTTAGTTATGACAAATTTTATGTTGAGTTTAGATAATTTTTTTTTGGTTGTAGTTGTGATACAGTTAGTGGGTAGAATAATATTTTTTTTGATTCATTGAGTTTGTCAGGAAGAGCAACTATTTTCAAATATTTTATGAGCCTTTTGTTTCACATTGAAAATGAAATAGTTATGCATTTTTAATATATTTCTCCTCTTTGTGTAAATATTGAGGGCTGCAAATTCTGAGTGCTCTTAAATAGAATCCAGAATGAAGATTGGATTATAAACTTAACATAAAATTTGTCACAACTACATCTAAAACAATCAAAGACTTAATCAATAAACAGTAAAGATGAGAACAATAGTCCAAAGAGCTAGCCTCATGTTTTATATATATATATATATATATATATATATATGAATAATTTTAATAATATTAGTGGTAAATATACACATACATATGCAAAATATATAAATATATATTGTTACGAGGATGCATTTCTATAATAAAGGATTCCATTGAGTTCTACTTGTTATTACAAAAAAGTTTTCATTCATGAAGTAGTTGTAAAATAGAGAAATTAGAAATAGAATGTTTGGAAGATTCTAGATCATTCTAGTATATTCAAGAAAAATCTAGCTGATTCGAGAAACATCTAGAAATATGCAAATTAGTGTTATAGACAAGCGTATGGTTGCAAGAAAGAAATACGACAACAGCAGAAATAGATTTACGTGGTTTATTTCAACAGGAACGTGTGGGTTCGGGACAGCTACCTTGTTCATAAGCCGGCTCATAAGCCGGCTTTCGGATCTAGGTCAATCTCTCATAGTAGTTCACACATGTTGACGGTGGTTGGTGCTCTCCTGCTGACAGCTGCTGAACGCTCGGCCTGACTGTGACAGGTCTCCCTTGTGGCCACCTGTTGACTGCCTGTCGAACTTCCATGTGACCCCTTTTATAGCATTTTTTATGGCTTAACAGGCTCAAAAAACGAAGCAAGTATAATTAGGAGGGAAGCATTTTTATTGGACGAAAAATAGGGCACTTTAAATATTATTTTATTTTTCGACCGGAACATGTGTGTCAGGAACATTTGTAAGGAAAGATAATGGTCATTTTGTGACGAGGCTTTGTCCCGTTTACATCCGGTTCTCGCTCTTGAGTATTTGCCTGTAAATCAGCCGAGATATGTCTTATTTTATTTTATAACATTAGGTGTTACCTCCTATAAAAATGGGATTTTGGAAAAGGGTTGTCAGTTGATGAATGAGAATTTCTGCTGTTATCAACTCCGGCTTTTGATTCAAGGACTATTATATCCAGCCGAAAGAATCTATAAAAAGTTGCCAACCAACCAAAACCCAAAAGAGAATTTCATGGAACAAATTTGGTAAATAGAATTTTGACTAATTTTCATTGACCAAACTAAAAATTAATATTTATTTACACACCTTTGTGGATTTCCAAATATAGCACTTAGATTACTTTGCTAGCCCTAAAGTGGTAAAGATATTTGACTCCCTTTCCTTCTCCCTCGTAACACTTGCCAGTAACTCTGTGTTTTCTGTTTATAGGCCACAATTGTTTAGCCTGTATATATTTTATGTTCTGTTTTAGTAAATCAACACGTAACAATATACATACATATACAACATACTTATATATTTGTATAAAAATTCCAAGAGGATAGAATCCAGGTAGAACTCATTGTCCAGGACAGAGTAAGGATATAATAAAAAGGCTTAAACACTAATATTCCATGATCATATGGAATATTAGTGTTTAAGTTTTTTATTATATATATATATATATATATATATTATGAATAAAAATGACAATAGGAAAACTGGTAATTGCTTGACGCGTTTAAGTCAATCCAATGGACTTTATCAAAGCAAAATACGAAAATGAAATTAAATGAACAACGTAACTAATAAAAAAAAAACAGAATGTACCTAGCAACTGGAATGTAGAGAAACGCTATTTTCATATTTTTTAAATGAGAAATAACGTCAGAGATTGTCACGTGTGGAGAATATTGTCATTATATCTGTGTTGATGTATTCAACCATTTTCTTTTCGATTTTATGAATCTGTTGTGCATGTTTGTTTGTAAGAGCATTAATTTTGTTAAGAAAGGTGAAATAGGGAAAAAGCCTGGGCGTAAATTGATATTTGGATAATTTTCTATGGCGGCACTCTCCAAAATTTTCCTTCTGAGTGAGTGATTTTTTTTTTTTATGAGTGTAGCATTTTTAAAATCAAAATTATGGTTGTATTTATTTCTATGTATTACTATTGCATTAGCTAAGTTGTTTTTGTGAGGTCTCTTTTTGTGCTCATAAATGCGTTTTTTCAAACTTCTACTTGTTTCTCCAATATATTGGGAGGAGCAGTTTTGGCAATTTATTTTATAAATGCCTGCTTCAGAAATATTAGTGCTATTATTGTTTGAAGATCTTAGTATATCTATAATGGTTTTGGAGGTGTTTGTGACTATTTCAAGATTATTTAGATGGGATAGGTTATTCTGGATCGTGGACGTGGCAGAATTGGTGGTAGTATTATGTATCTGTTTTCATGTGATTTACTATTGCGGATTGTATTATTAGTTTTTGTTTTTCGTTTGTATATTTTGTATGCCTTTCTTCTTGCATTGTGGATGAAATGATATGGGTATTGTAGGTTTTTGAATGTGTTTTCTATGTATGTTTCTTCTTTAAATAAATATTGAGGACTACAGATTCTTAATGCTCTTAGATAGAAACCTATAATAATTCCAGATTTAATTTTTGAAGGGTGGTTTGAGTAGAAGCTGATGAGATCATTTTTGTTTGTAGCCTTTCTGTAAACGTCAAAATTGAGTTCGTTGTTATTTCTAATTAACAAAATGTCCAGGAACGGAAGAGTGTAGTTGGTTTCAGTTTCGAGAGTGAAGTTTATTGTAGGTTCAATGTTGTTAAGTTTGGAGAGAAGATCCGTTAAATTTTTTCTTATTTTGCTTTGATAAAGTCCACATTGGACGAAACGCGTCAGCAATTACCAGTTTTCCTATTGTCATTTTTATTCATAATATTGTCTTCTCTACCGATTAAATCGGAGAAATTTTCATATATATATATATATATATACACTTTATTATAAGGTATTACATTTGAACATATGTAAACCTACATCAATGCATCCATGTTTTGATGCCTCTCATAGCATCTCATCAGTCAGTGGTAAGTGAAAGTTATTACAATTTTTAATATTTACTTACTAATAATCTCTTTTCCCACAAAAAAAGGAAAAAGAAAATAAGGAAAGCAAGCAAGCAAGATAGATATAAGATAGAGTTACCTCTAAAAGAAAAAAGAAAGGCACAATATATAGTCTAAAAAAGGAAAAGAAAGAAAGATAAGATATAGTCTCTTCAAAGAAAGAAAAAAGAAGAGCAAGAAGGAAAGAAAGACAAGATATAATCCTTTCTCCAAAGAAAAAGGAGAGAGAAAAATAAAATAATGATGAGAAATGTAAGGAAGCTAAACAAGATAGTTTATAATGGGACAACCATCCAAATTTTCTATGTTAAGTAAGATGTTGATACAAATTCAATGGATACAAATAGTCTGTTGTAAACAGAATTTGATACTATATAATGTCACACAAACAGTTGTCATTTTGGCCACAGAGGCAGTATAATTTAACAATAATTATTTAATAGTATTTAATAAAGGAAGGAAAAGCCACAAAACTTAAAAGGTATATAGATCACATAAATAAATCCTATAAATAATAAAACAATGAGATAATAAATTATATAAAATTAGACTTAATAGATTATGACAGTTAACTAAAGAGTTTATTAATAAAATAAAAACAATAGAAAATGTTAAAATATCAACCAAATGATATACCAAATATCTATATAA